GCGTCACATTCCGCCCGGGTCCGCAGCCGCCATCTTGTGGGTTTGCCGTTGTTCTTGCTTGCAAATGCCAAGAGAAAAATCGCTTGCTTGTCAATGTTACAGGCTGCCCCTGAGTGTTATGGGTTTATGGCACTTAGCAACCATGGCTTTATTGCCCCCTTGGCACTAGGGTTGCGAACTGTTCCATGCTTGCCCATTTTACTGATATGCATCAGAATGTCCGTAAAACGAGACTCAGGAGTCATGAGTCAGAGCTGAGTACCCTTCGCCTGAGCACTACAGTTCCGCGAAACGGAGGATGGTTTGAAGCATGAAGCCATGACAAAAACCAGCCAATACCGGCACATGAATTTGGAATTGATCCACTCCTGGGTCGGCTGACCACGGAAAGCGCTGTGCTCCGACAGAGGGCTACGGCTCTGGTTCGCTTGGCGCCCCCTGGACATAAAATGAGCTGCAATTGGACACTGGGGTTGGCTTGCCACGGCCGACCCTCTAATCACAATGCGACAAACTCAAAAGGTCGAAATCGTGGCAAGACAGACCTAGCGGCGAAGAGCTTGTAAAACAGGCCATGCCTCTCTCCGCTTGAGACAGTCAGGCTGCACACCGCCCCCACTCTCCGCTCAGGACAGAGTCAGGCTGCACACCGCCTCCACTCTCCGCTTAAGACAGAGTCAGGCTGCACACCGTCCCCACTCTCCGCTTAAGACGGAGTCAGGCTGCACACCGCCTCCACTCTCCGCTTAAGACAGAGTCAGGCTGCACACCGCTTGGCCCAACCATCCGGTGATGGATTTCCATGCTGACGGCCTCAGTTCAGACCGCTCGCCCAAAGTCTGCAATATAGGGACTTCGGAGACTTGGGGCTCTATCCTGTGATAGCGATTGTGAGATAACAGCCGACAAGATATTGCGCTCCGCTGCTCAGGCGGACGCCCGCCGTCTGGCGTCTTTTGAGTGTTTGAATGTGGGCGTGGCCTTCTCAGCCGTCTGCTCCTTCTGCCAGACAATGAATGCAAAACTTTTCTGTCCAACATGGTGGGTCCATGAGTGCACTCGTTAGGCTTTGTGGTCGGGTTTGAGTTCGCTCGGCTGGCTTTCTTTCTCCAGTGACATTGAGCACTTTCACTTTGCCTGTAAGAGAATATTTCATGTTGTTCAATTGGAAAAGCCCGACTGTGAAAGATCGCTCATCCCAAAACCAACGAGTATTCAGAACAAGATCACATCTGTGGATGGGATAGCAACTTTGCACACCTGCACATTTTACGATTTTCTCAGTCCTTCACTCATTCCACCGCGGTCATCGAAGGAAGCTGCCAGACCCTCGCGCCGGTGGCTTGAGTCCGCCCGTGCGGGCCGTTCCCACCGTTGGAGCCAAACGACAGTCGCCGCCGGGAAAGCGTGTGCACAGCATCAGGCGGGGCGTTTCCATTCTCAGCCGGCGCGCTCTGGCGCGAGCACGCGCGGCGGGCGGCGCGCGCGCCGACCGAGACGAACTGCGCGCACGCTCCAGAGGGCTCTCATTTACCCTGTTTACATGGGCAGCTGTGATTCGAATTGAGCCGGGACCCGTCCTCGATCCGAACTATCCGGCCCATGTATACACTCACGCGCCGTTCCGCTGATTCGAATCGTGCGCCGGAGGAAATCCCTTCCCGTGAGAGGATCATCCGTTCAGGAAGGGATTTCGTCCGAATTATCCGGCCGTCAGCTGTCTAAACAAAAAAAAAAGAAAAATGCCTGGCGCACGCAGTTCTGTTCATGGCCATTTCAGCTTTGTTTGGTGTTGCCGCTTTTCCACGGGTTTTTAGGTATTGCTCGAGACGGTCCAAGTCCAAGATGGTAAAGGAAAAGAGAAAGAAGGTGAAGTTGACACCATGCTGCTAAAACTGCTCTTATTATTGAGGGCCTTGAGTGGCTAGCAGCACAGAAATGCTCACGTAATTTAGCCTTGCTAGGCGCGTGATCTATACAGACAGCAGGCGTCGGCGGTGTTTGGTGTTGTCTTTCCGCCTAAAGGTTAGATTAATTTACATCTGGGGCAGGCTCCATGCTTCCAAAAGCCAGATGGAGGTAATATGGTCATTTTATATAGCTTTGACTTGTTCTCACTTTAATTTTGGGATTGCTCAAAATTCTTGCAGAGAATGCCTCCAAGTTTCTTTCATTAAGTTAATATCTAAAGGCCCCAGGAGTGTTTTTGCAAATGTTCCTTAAATTAGGATGCTGGTTGCTTGTCAGTTAAATTTGTGTGAGAAAGGTAGCTTAAAAATTGCCGCATGATATGACGGATGAACAAATATAGATCATTGCAGTCAGCTCGGAATGTGAACTTTTTTGATGGTAGGACCGAAATTGCCCAATGACGGGGTCAGAACAGCAAGAAAGCAAATGTGTACACTGGATGAAAATAGTTGTCATCATTACTCTGCTAAATCCAAGTTTGTGTGTTCCATGTGCAGGAAAACAGTGCATAAACTAACACCTAACACGATGGCACATGCTACATGGAGAACGCGTCTGGGTTGCATATCATCACCTGTTTTTGTACTGGTGATTTAATATGTCACCTTGGTGCTTTTTTGTGATGGGTGTCTTTGCAGGCCATGAGGAAGGTACTTCAACTGTTCAACAATTCTTGCAGGGAGTACCAATAGTTTCTTTCACTAAGTGAATACATAAATGCCCCAGGATTGATTTTGCAGACATTCCTCCTGTGACTTGAACATTTGGTTGACCACCTATTGGCAGGAGGGATGTGCTGGATATTGGTGACTGGCTCATCAAGGAAATATGAAGTTACATCACACTGGTAGACCAAATGGCAAGGAAGCGGGGGCTGGGATATTTGTTTTTGATGTGATTGGGCTGTTTGTTGCTTGTCGGTTTAATGTGTGTGAGATAGGTAACTCAATAATTCCTGCATTATGCAAAGGATCAACAAATATAGGCAATAGATCATTGCAGTCAGTGCAGAATGTGAACTTTTTTTAATGATGGGACCAAAATTGCCCAGTGATGGTTCCAAAATGTCAAGAAAGCAAATGTGAGCACTGGATGAAAATAGCTGTCATCAGTACTCTGCCAAATCCAGGTTTGTGCATTTCATGTGGAAGAAAACAGTGCATAAACTAAGTACACCTAACATAATGCCACATGATGTGCAGAGAACATCTGTGGTGCACATCATTACCTGTTTTTGCACTGGGGAGTAAATATGTTAGCTTGGTGCTTTTTTGTGACATGTATCTTTGCAAACCATGAGGTGGATAATTGAGCTGTTGTTATAATTAATCATTTGTTATGAATTTTGAGCCCAGATTGCTTTTGTCATGACAGCTCTGGGGCTGGTTCACATGTAATGATCTTTGGACTGTGCAAACACAGCTGTTTGTGCCACCTAGCCATCAGTCCACATCAGCCAATGCTGTTGACTGCAAGGATATCAAAGCAGTATTTCAACCCTAGTATGTCAAGAAAGCAAATAGCTGCATTCTGACTTGCCAGCCCATGCCAAGTCTAAATGGCAATGCTGCCCTCAGGTACTGATGATGCATTGGATGGGTAAAGACAACATAGTTACACAATTTTTGCCACTAACTATGTAGCATTCATGAGTCATTTCTGTAGCTTAGCTCACTGTTGCAGGCTGCTCATAAATGCATTAGTGTGGGAGTAGGTAATGTGTTTCTTGGGCTGCGCAAAGTAGATGACATGATGCTGGGTGGCATACTGATATGAGTGTGGTAAGTTTGTGAGTGTCATTGGCCAATACAAGAAAATATTGATTTCCTGCTAGCCAAAGTTTCCCGCTAGTAAAAATTTGCATATAACACTGCTTATATAACAGATTTGGCAGTGCTGACTGCGCAACTCTTGTGTTTCAAGTGCTATGGCTTGTGCTGTAGCTATAAAGCCTTTGAGTCCCGCACAGATCATTTTTCCAACGGAGTCCATCTTCCTCCTCGCCCTCAAAGCTGTCTCGCGCCCACCATGGCTCGTGACATTCGCCATCCATACGCAGAGTACCGGATTTTTTCTTCTTGTTTTGTTCAGTTCGCCTCAAAAGCGCAGTTTTCGCCCATAATCCGTTCCTTGATTCGAACTAAGCGGGATCGAACTATCGACCGTTAATCCGACGTAAAGCCGGTTTCGCCCATGTAAACGCCCCTCGCCGAGAGGGTTAACGTCGCATGATCCGTTCCGATCTTAATTCGAATTATCCTCGGCTGCCCATGTAAACCGGGTAATTGGACCGGTACGTCCGTGGCGAGACGCGGGATGCGCTATGGATTCGAGAGTGCCGCTCTCGGCTGGCGTCGGTGAGGTTGTGCGTTCAACACTCACTGACGGCAAGCGCCTTACGAAGCGGCGGTCGAGTTCGGGGCTGCCTTGCCTGTTGGCATTCACGACATTGATGTCTAACCTTGGTGGCGTTGGGTTTGCGCTCAAGGTGAATGCTTCAGAGCCTTCGCCGAAATTCGTTCGTCTGCTCATGGCCTCAGTCGCCAAAAGCGGGCATCCGCGAGCGTCGTGAGGCGGGCTGCCCTTGTCCTCCCGGCCCCCCGCGCTGGCGTCGCCCCTGCCCTGACCGCTGACCTCTGAGCGGGTGGGCGTTAATGAAGCTCGTGATCGGCGCTAAGTGGGCCGACTGAGCGGCTGAGGTCGGCCGGCTTCACTTTGATGTCTGCCGACGCCAACCTCAATGCGACCGCAGACCGTTGGCGCATGGATCGTCGGGCTGTCGACCTGTGTTGACCTGTGTCGAGTGAACGGCACGTTCGGGGGCCTGGAGGAGCTGCTTCCGACCCGACTTGACGTCTGGCCTGTGTCTGTGCGAGGACGAAAGCTGACCTGACTGACTGATTTTTGGCCGGTGGGATCGGTCAATCACGTGGCAACAGTGGCCGGTCTCAGACATCACCTAGCACGTGACAGATGACCCGTCTGACGGGCGTCAGGAGAGCGGACGTGGTCAAGAGAGCGGCTCCTGACCGGGCCCGTCCCGTCCGCAGGTGCACCTGACTTCCAAGAGCATTATCCTGAACGGCGTGTGCGTGCGGTGGAAGGGAGCCATCAACCTGGAAAGCCTGAGCGGCACCGGCGCCATCGAGTTCGACGACGAGATGGCTCAGGTCAGTGGCTACGTCAGATGATGGGGTGGCTCAGGTCAGTGGCTACGCCAGATGGTGGGGGGGGGGGGGGGGGGGGGGGGCTCAGGTCAGTGGCTACGCCAGATGGTGGGGTGGCTCAGGTCAGTGGCTACATCAGATGGTGGAGGGGCTCAGGTTAGTGGCTACGTCGGATGGTGGGGTGGCTCAGGTCAGTGGCTACGCCAGATGGTGGGGTGGCTTCGGTCGGCCAATGAGTCACTCGCAGAAGCTTCCGGCATGCACCTTCGAGACATCGGGTCGCGGCGTGTGCCGGCACAGCTTGCAAACACGTGTTACTTACCCTGTCGCGGTCTCGCGTGTTGTGAAACGTTGCCTGGTCTGATCGGTTCGCGCAAGCCGGGCGCTGACGACGGCGACGCGAGCTTGGCCGGGTCGGGTTCCGCCGTCACCGCGCGCCCTGCGGACCGGTTGAACAAGCATGGAGTGGTGGGCCCCACACCTCCAAAGAGTTCCGCCCCGACTGACCCGACGGTCCGTGTCAGCGTTTGACGCCCTCGGTTTCGGCAGGAGGAGGACAACAGGCTGAGGCAGCAGCTCGAGTACTACAACCAGCGGCTACGCGACTTCAATGATCGGCAGAAGCTCTACAAGCGTGAGACGGACTGAGGTGAGGGGCACCGCCGTCGCCGGCCAGGCGTGGCCAACTGGTTTCATAGAAGGAAACTACAGCGTTCACGATTATTCAGTGAACACCGCGAGGGTGTCAGTGAAGCTTTCCATCTCTTTGTAATTTCCACGACGTATGCTCCCCATTATTTTCCCATGTTGGTTTTGTTTCCCAGTATTCCAACAAATTCACCAAAATTCGCCACCGGTGAGAACCGCAGAACCCTGCGTGCATTTGTCTAGCTATACGTTCTGTCTCTGATCCCTGCGCAATGTTTTTTTTTCGGGAGATCCTACATCTGCGTGAAGTATGTGGGCCGACAGCTACCTGCCTTACCTGAGATTCATTCCATTTGATGGTGATTTTAAACAAATATGGTGCAAAATTGAACCACTTGTCCTTTTACGCTTACACCATGCGATTTTAAAACGGTCATGTACTGCTTTATGAAGCTGGCCTTTGGTCGGGTAATGACCGCCACCGCCGCCATTCGCTTCTGCACTGTACACGTTTCCGCCTGGCTGGTGCAGCCTTAATTAAACGCAATTATTGTAATGAAATTTTAATGGTGCAGGCTCGTTAATGGTGTATTGAGTTTGCGGCACGGTGAGTAAGGCTAAGTGATATTTTCCTTTTGAATGTTCAAATCGCAGCGTCATGGTCATACATCAGGACCTCATCATGATGCTTGGGTCCGTGGGCTTTCAGACGCGGTTAATGTGGTTTCAATTGTAGCGTTCAGTCTGCAACCATAAAGCTTAGCCTGTTGCACATTGGCGTTTGCAGAAAATTTGTCTTCCTGGAAGGCATAAAGACTCCAAACCCTGTACCCCTCTCCACCCTCTTCAGCTTTGCATGGTCTTGGACTCCCACTGACTACCGCTCAGCAATGCTGGCAGTGATGGTCACTGGCGCAGGACGGGCCCAGCTCTCAGCAACTACCGCCGCCGCTGACCTGTCGGGTTCGCAGTGACCCCGCCGCCCCTGCCCTCAGTGTGGGTTCGGGTACAGTATCTCCCCACCTCACCCCACGCCCCCCCCCCCCCCACCCCACTTACCCGCCCCGGAGCCAGGTGACAGCGTCCACCGCCGGTGTGGGGCCTGGGAGTCCAGGCGGCGGAAGTCATGTCTAGCGTGGTCGCCGGTCCAGAAGGCGGAAGTCATGTCTAGCGTGGTCGCCGGTCCAGGAAGCAGTACCCACCCAGATGGTCCCCGGTCCCCGGTCCCCCCGGATGGCATGACCGGGGTGTGGTCCCCGGTCCAGGTGGCAGTACCACCCAGATGGTCCCCGGTCCAGGTGGCAGTACCCACCCAGATGGTCCCCGGTCTAGGTGGCACAAGTCCGCCCAGTGTGGTCCCCGGTCCAGGTGGCACAACTCCACCCAGTGTGGTCCCCGGTCCAGGTGGCAGTACCCCACCCAGTGTGGTCCCCGGTCCAGGCGGCAGTACCCACCCAGTGTGGTCCCCGGTCCAGGTGGCACAACTCCACCCAGTGTGGTCCCCGGTCTAGGTGGCACAACTCCACCCAGTGTGGTCCCCGGTCCAGTGTGGTATCTCGCCTTCAGTGCACCGTCACAATTACAACAGCGGCCAAACGCATGCAAAAAGTTTATGGTCGAGTAAGACATACATGATTGGTGTAATTTTACGGTCATTATACGTGACGCTTCAGAGATAGCCGCTGTAAAACAAAGGGACCGACAGGCGGCGTGAGGGGAGGGGGAGGGGAGGGAGAGGGGAGGAGATGCGGGGCCGCCTGTCACCCAGGCGGGTCATTATCGCACCGCCCTGTCTCGAACATTGAATGCGGGCGGGGCTGCTGTTGGACGGCCCAGCGCGGCTCTGGCGATCGACCACCGAGCAGAGGACTGTTTGGGTGTCTGGCCTCCTCTCTGCCCCCGCCCGGACCGCCCCCGTTTTATCCCGCCCTCCCCCTCGCCCGTTTAACCGGCATCCCGACTGAGAGGAATTTGGCGCCGAGCCTCGCCTGGCGCTGTCAAACGACGGCCTCTGCCAAGAAGTCCAGCGTGCGGTTCCTTCGTCCCGCGCCCGGCATGGCCTCCCAGTGCTGGAGCTCAGCAACGGTGGCTGGGGAGAGGTGTCACTTCCAGTCAGCCGAGGATAAACCTAGAAACCGGCCCACAGTCGGCCGGAAATCCGCTGACGTCACGGACTGGGTGCGGCTGGAGGCGAGCGGCTTCCGCTCGACCGCTGGAGCCGAGCGCATGCGTCCGCTGTCTGCTCACCAGAGCTGTGCGCGGACAACGCACGTTGCATCCTCCGCACCCACAGCGTGCCCCGCGCGCGAAGCTGCCTCCTGTGCCCTGTTATAGTAGTAACGTACCGAACCATCCCGTCTTGTCTGTGGTAGGAACGTAGCCAGAATTTTCCTCAACGAGGGAGGTAAAGGCCAATTTTTCTCCGAAGCTCAGCGAATTGGAACCGAATTCCTGCAAAATTGTTGTGTACCTAGGGTACTGAGCTCAGGATACCTCGGCTCAGAGGATGAGTATAGCCTCTGTGTCCCCCTGGCTATGCCCCTAGCCTGCAGCAACTATTGCATGGGTTATTGAACCATCAGTTTGAGCTGGGCAAACTCATAATTTGATAACAGACCGGGCACCGTGTTTCCAAAAGAAATCATGTGCCAAACAAAATGCTGTCGTCTTCGGCAGCTTCGCTGCTCATTTTCAATCTCAAAAAAAACGTATCCGCTTCCAATTTTCTCTTTGTTGTGCAATCACGCTTCCCCATGACAGCGATGCGCCCAGCCGCGCAGCCGCGCCAGCCAGCGGGCGCGCCGAACAGAGGAGAAAGAGCGCGTGCAGCTGAACCGCGGGTCAGCCCCTATCGCCGGCTGCCGTTTCCGATGCGCTTCCTCAGAGACGCGTCAAGAAAAAACGCGCGAACGGCTGGCGCCGGCGCCGGCGGCATTATCGGCGCGCGCGCGCACCATTGGGCGCGACCTAAAAATGCGTGAATTATCGCTGCCGACTGCGGAAAAACAATCAAGTGGGCGTGCATAGCCGATTCGGGGGCGTCCGCCGGCTAGGGGGCCCGGCTGACCTCTTTGGCGGACGGGCGTAATTGCTTGCGCGTCGGATGTGTGGCATTGAAATGCAAATCTGGACAATTACGCGACCGGGAGCCGCTCACCTGGCTTGCTCGTTAATCTTCCCGTAATGTGCGGTGGCTCAACTGAGGGGTCAGCTCTCCGGACGGCGGCGTGAGTGAGGGGTCAGATCTGAGGACGGCGGTGCGGGTGAAGGTCAGATCCGGGGGCAGCGGTGCGGGTGAGGGTCAGATCTGGGGGCAGCGGTGCGGGTGAGGGGGTCAGATCTGGGGGCAGCGGCGTGGGTGGGGGGTGATCTCTGGGGACGGCGGTGTGAGTGAGGGCCAGGGCACGGCGGACTGAGCACATCGAACAGACGGCGACAACTTCACTAACGAAGAAACTTTGTTTCCAGGCGTGCGAGGCCTACAGCAGCGCCAAAGCAAACCGGGCAGAGGCGGGCGCTAGACCTGGCAGCAGGGCGGCGCCAGGCCCGGCGGCAGGGGCTGCGCCAGGCCCGGCAGCAGGGGTGGCGCCAGGCCCGGCAGCAGGGGCGGCATCTAGTCGGACCCGAGCATGGCCGTGGTGTCGCGCGCCGCCGCGCTACCCGTGCATAACCGTCGCCTCGCCCCTGGCGCAGACCAGTCGTCCGAGCGGCGCGCCGGCGGCCCGTCCGCTCCTCGGTCCGGCTCCGGGGGTCCGCAGCGACAGCTGGGCCGGATGGCGGCACCGCCGCGTGGCGCTTGCTGCCAGCGCTGTCAGACGGTCGAGAAGAGCACTCGCAGTTCTCTGTGTGTACTGAACTACAAGAAAGACTATTTTTGCCCG